ATAATTTACGAGAAAAGCCCTAAATTAATTTGTTCGTATTTCTGTAGCTTTGAGCTGACAATGAACATTTAGGGCTTTTCTTGCAAACTCTATAACTTTGCAAAGAAAGATCGTGTAGAGCTCGGAGAGGTCTCATTTTAATCAGAAATCTGCGGGCTACAATCCTGCCTCATTTTAACAAAGGTTTTGGTTATTTTTTAGGAGTTCTGAAAAACTGGTTTTCCAGAAATCCGGTCTCTGAAGACCTATCGACCAAAATGATTGTTATATTCGGAATCAGTGTCCTCGATTACCTCTGACCCACTAGTTTTAGCCCGAAAGCGATTTTCAATCTGGGGAGGTTCCCTCGTTAGCCGAATAAATCGCCACGGTCTTATCATAGTTAATAGGTTGATTCGTAAGGACTCAGTAGTATTCCAAATCAAAAAAAGAACCCAAACGTTTTTCAACATCTAACGCTTGCCTGATATACTTAATCCCCATCTGTCCCGCTAGCACACACGCTAAATCATCAGCTCATAATATTAATATGAACATATCGACATCATAAGTAATAAAGAGAGTACGCATAAAGCATGAACCTAGGGGGCCTCCTCTAAAAATATTAAACCATCTCGATCGAATGCCGTTAACTTCTAAAAACGCTCGTTGTCCCTTAAGCCACGCTACAATCGATTGACGATAACTTTTAGGGATCCCCATTTAAGCAAGTTTATCAGTACAGCCTTTCCACCAAAGCTGATCAAAAGCCGATCTAAAGTCGACAAAAACTGTAGCGACTGGGGCAGAATTCGCCATATAAGATGAGATTTGTTCAACTAACGTTAACACTCTAGTTTGTAAACGAAAACCGAGTCTAAACCCTGACGGTGTATCAGGCAGTACACCTCTTCCTTGTAAAATTGTTTGAAATCTGACCAAAAATAATCTCTCAAGAACTTTTAGAAAGGTGTCTAACAATGATATAGGTCTGGTACCACTAATCGCACAAACCGCTTCTTTTCGCTAATAAAATTATGCGCACTTCTTTCCAAAAGGATACTAACTCAAAGTCGATAAAAGTTTTATTAAACAGGTTTAATAATAGTGACCAGAATTCTAGAGGAATAAACTGTAACATATGAGGTGAAATACCCTGCGCATCACAAGAGTGTTTTGCCTTCATGGATCTCACCACCTTAATTAATTTGAGAAAGGTGATCAATGGAATATCTCCACTTTCGTTTTCCCATTCAATTAACCGTTGAAGGTCTAAATATGGATGAGGTCGATATACTGTAGGCTCAACAAAGAGATCCTCATAATAGTCAACAGTTAAGTCAACCATTAAAACAGGATCGCGAATAACCGTACTTCCATTATTAATTGAAAATGCATGAAAAGAACTTGCCGCTCTAGAATGTTCTTGTTTTAGACAAAAATGAAATGGATTGAGAAGAGGAAATATTTCTTTACGAAAAAGAACTTGCTAATTCAGCAGCAAGAAAATCTTTAAGCGACTTGCGAATGTCAAACCTCAACTTATGTATCAGAACTCTCAGCTCTTGGTCACCCATTTTACGTAATCTAAACGACAGAGCCCTTAGGTACGATAGATGACTTCTAAGTTCACGAAGAATAGATAAACGGTATTTGTTAAGAGGAAAGTACGTAGTACATCTCACAGAAAGAAAAAAAGTAAGTTCACTAAATTCGCGTATTCAATATTGACATCTGTTAAGGTCCATTACTTCTTCCAAAAGAAAAAAATAGTAGAGAAAATCAGAGAGAAAATCAGAAGAAATATTTCTTTCTACAAAAGTATAAAAAGCATGGCTTAATACAAAAAGGTTTACGGATACGTTCAAAACATTTTAATTCACATCGCGCTGATCAAATATGTTTAATTGCGAGCCAGAAATTACTTAATAGTACAATTCGTCAAAATTTTACAAAGATGTATTCATTAAAATTAGAATTAAGAATGATAGGTCAACAATTTAAAGAATTAAACGTCGATTTAAATGTTATACCAATTTTGGAGTAAAGATAACAATAGTGATATTGTGAAATTACGTTCAATGTTGAAACAAAAATTGTTTAAAAAGTATAATTATTTACTTAATGAAGCTCGTTATATATATATAATAAATCTTTAGCGCCAACAACAGTACCAATAATAGCAAATCATCCTGATTCGCGTATTATTGGATCTTACAACTCGAAAATTGTCTCAATGGGAAAGCAATGTATTAGAGTTAGGACTAAATTTTATACCAACTACTGGCATTAATACAACTAAATATGTGACACGGGTGATAGCTGGTATTGAATCTGATTTGTATAAAAACGACTCAATACAAAAAGAACAGATTGTTTCAGATGTAAGAAATACTCTCGATAGACATTTGAATCGAGCTATTTTGACAGACAAAAAGAACAGAAATGTTAAAAAAGAACAAGAAGGAGCATTGAAAAGTTTAAAAGTCGATGATAGTATTTTAGTAATATCAGCAGATAAAGGTGGTAAAATTGTAGCTATGAATACGTCAGATTATAAAGCTAAGATAGAAGAGAAGTTAAGTAATAGTAGTACATATACTAAATTGAGTGAAAATCCAACCAAAAGGTTAATAAAAGAGTTAGCTAGTTTAGTTAAAGTAGTTCAAGATAAAAAAGAAATTGACAGTAGACAATTAAAAAATTTCAAAAAAGAAAATATTTACCTTTCGTTAGAGGGCAAATTAAAACTCATAAAAACGATAAATCTATGAGACTTATAGTTTCAATGCGTAGTACAGTTGGCTCAACAATGACCAAATATTTAATAAAATTTTTATGAAAATTAGGAGACAAAGTGAGATCGTTAAAAAACACAAAATATTTAATAGAAGATATTTATAAAGTTAAAGTAGTCAGTCCAAAAATGAGTTTAGCTAGTTTAGATGTAGTTGATTTATTTACATCGATAGATCGAAACGACGCGATAAAAATATTATCAGAAAAATTAAAACAAGATATAAGTTGGAAAGCAGATACAAGTTTAAATGAAGATACCATTATCAACATGGTAAAATTTTTAACAGATAATGTTTATTTTCAATTCGGGAAACATTACTATCAACAAAAACATGGGCTTCCCATGGGGTTTTCTCTTTCACCGCTATTAGCAGATATTGTACTTAGCGATTTCATAGAGAAATATTGAGACAAGGCACGTTTTCCATTTGCCTATTTCGCACGATATGTTGATGATGGGCTTCTCATTTCGGAGTTAAGTGAAGATCAAGTAAAGAATTAGTTGAGGATTTGAACAATAAAACGACAAATTTAAAATTTATATTCGAATTCGAGAAAAATAATCAATTACCATTTTTGGATGTTTTAATTGCAATTGACAAAGTAAACAAAAAATTTACAACTAGCTGGTTTCGAAAAGAAACAGCATCAAATTACCTTTTGAATTTTCATTCGAATCATAATTCAGCAATCAAAAATAATATCGTTAAAAATATGACAAATCGTGTTTTAGTAGCCAACAATGGCCACAAAAATGAAAAACATTTAAATGATTTGCAAAAAATTTTAGAAAATAGTCAGTTTCCAAAAAATATTAAAAATAAAATAAAAAAAAAGAAGTTAATGATAATTTAAGTAGAAGTAATAATGTTAACAATAATCAACAGTGTCTGGTATAGTTGTGATTCCTCATCTGAATGGTATCACTGAACGTTTGAAAAAATTTTAAAAAACATCAAATTAAAACATTTACACAACACTCCAAAAGTATTGGTTCTATTTTAAATAAAACCAAATTAATTGCACGCAATAAGCTTGGTGCTAAGAAGAAAGATTCTACAGTTTTTGCTAAAAATGCTATTTATGGTATACCATGCAAATATGGATGCATCTATGTCGGAGAAACGGAAGATTTTGAAAGACGTCACAAACAACATATGAGTAAATGTCAAATATCATCGTGTTAATGAGTCAGAAATAGTTCAACATTTGTTAGTTAATAATAGTAGTTATAGTATTCAATTTGAGAAAAGTTTAATTTTTGATAGAGAAGAAAATAAACATCGTAGAAAAGTATTAGAAGCAGTTTATTCAATAGCAAATAAATCATATAATAATAAACGGATGATATGTAATCAATGGAAAGCTAGTATCAGTAAATGGATAGGGGAAAAATCAGGTAGTCTTTTTAGAACAAAAACAATAAATTCAAATAATAATAGTCACCATAATCATCAAATAAATAGTCATAATATAGTTAGTCAACAAGTAGTTTTAGGATTAAACCAAAAAGGCAAATATAGTTTAAGAGCACAATCACGAGCTAAATATAAATTTTAACCAGTAAATAATTTTATGTGTGTCTTTGACAATTGTACTTATTATTTAATTTTTAAATTTTTGTACAGCTGTTATGCCATCTATTCACTACAATGTCAGTCAACATCATATTTTAGCTGCTCATCTTTATCCATATTCAACTGTAACTTTCACAATCATCACCTTGTCATCGTTTACTATACTTATTATTTATTTCTCGTATTCCAATAAGTGTAATTTCCGAATATCATGCTTTTATACACTCACTATTGCAATTGTTGAACATCCTGCGCGCACATTTTCAATTAGTTCTCGTATATAGTGTGTTCTTTTCTGTAATCACTTGTTATTCATATCATTTGTACTACTGAAGAAGGAGTCGGTTTAGACTTCGAAACCATTAGCAGTTGTAAATAAATTTATAAAATAAAAGAAAATTCTACGAGAAAAACGAAATTAAATTTAAATGTGATTTCCTTATCATATTATCAACAGAATCAATTTCAGTTTTGTTCTTCAGAAAATGCTTGATCTACCTTTTCTGTTCTCGTTCTTTTGACTTCTGGGGTTCTCTTCCTCCTGTAGAATTTCTTTTATAACTACATCAAGTTCTACTTCTGGCACTTTGCCAGATGATATTTTTGGTTTAAAACCTGATCAATTTCTAATGTGTTTGTGGAGCAAGAATATGGAGGACATATTAGAAAAATTTTACACTTTCAACTTCTCGATACAGTAAACGACGTTCAGACAACAAGTGTAGAAGATGTTCTCAGTATATTCTCTAAAAGTCAAAAAATCCCATGAGCAATGGTATTCAAAAACAATAGACGATATCGGAGCGAGTAGCTCTGAAATAGAAAACTCCAGTTCAGAAGATGCGGACGAAGAAGATTTAGTGGATAATTGCTGGGGCAATGAAACAGATAATCAAGGTCATTATAGTGAAGATAATTTGTCAAATGAAGACGATGATGAATATGTTTTATCGAGAGATTTATCTCAAACACAAAGAGCGACATTTTTGTGGTATCCGGGTGTTTGACAAAATCAATCCAAAACGATCAAGTTCTTATTTTCATGTCAAGATTGGCGACAAATGGAAATACTTACACAAACAATCAGCGTGTTGGCTGCTAACAGACAATAAAACACATTCATATTGTGATAGACTGAAACATGTCATTGAATCTGGACAACAAGAATAAACAATGTGCTTTTTTTATTGAAGTTCAAGAACTTTTTCCACTTTATTAAAGGAAAAGGATGAAAAAAACCAAAGAAAATGGTAGGATTTGAACACACAGCCTTATCCACCATCTTGAATTTTTAAATGCTGAAAAGTGCTAGTAAGTGCTGAAAGGTGCTAGAAAGTGCTATCCATAAAAAGTGCTTTTCCCCCCTTGCCTCCACGACCATTTTCGCCTAACTGATAAAACCATATAAAACCGTAGGAGGTGATCCAGATCCACGAGTGTTCTAATCTACCTGTCTCAAGTAAAATAAGGCAATCTATTGTTAGGCTCTCGAATAAAATAAGAGCTTCGTGTACACGAATGGAAAGACCGCGCACGTTAAAAAAAAGTACATTTAAAGATGCAAACTTACATTTTAAATCATCACGTTTCCATGTTTTCCACTCATTAAAAAAACACTGAAGGGTAGGGAAAAAATGCCACTCCGAAAGAATTTGACTGAAGAAACTACAATCAAATGAGGAAAGAAATGACACTGCTTTAGAAGACATTCTATCAAAATACATTGCTCTTGTTGTATGTCCTTTTGGCTCAAATGAACGTGCGTTAGGAGGCAGACTCATGATGTTGTAAGAGATAATGAATTTTGACCTGAACCTGGTAAACGATATGATTCATTAAGTTCTTTGTTGAAATCATCTTGCAGTTTAGCCCACTTCAGCAATCAATCAGCAATTTTATTTACCTCGACGACCCCATTTCTGATGGCACAATGGAATTATTAGTGAACTGATTAATTAAATTATTCACTAGAATTGTTGATGATGGAAGCTCTTAAAAGGTTTGAATGTATGTGAATTCCACGATCTAGAGTATTTATGGTTTTCTGGAAGAGAGAAAAGTACGTTAAGTCCGTTTGCCACTCATACGACCATCGAGCTCTTCACAAAATTTATTTCAGAACCATCGAAGTTATTTTGATGGACAGTTAATGATTGATTGTTACGAATTGTTGTTCTTGACCTGCTATAATTATAATTATCAAGACATATTTATTATTATATTTGCTCAGCAGTGCAATATACAATTTTTTTAGTATAGTACCAGTCCTAATACCAATTTCTGTCGTATAGGTTAGGCGTGAAACTGCATAGTGTAACCGCACTATATCTCGGACAAATACTCTTTTAGAAAAATTGGCAATATATTGATTGCTAGATAAACTTTTTTTGCCTATAATTTTGTATCAAAGCCAACTTTTATAGAAAAAGATTTTAACGTAAGGTTGCAACAAGAATGTGTTTTATTTTAAAGGCTAGTTCGTACGATAACAATATTTTATCCATTAAATAAAAGAGTTCCTCCTACGAAAATAAGTTTTTTTGATATGCTTGCACCTTGCTTTGATTAACCAAATCGTAAGAATGAGGCTTGTTGTGTTCGTTTTTCGACCGGTGCCCAATCCAAACGTGGAGATAGATTAGTTCGTCCGAATCTTAAAAATGACGGATTCGATCGTCCGAATCTTAAAAACGACGGATTCGATCGTCCAAATCTTAAAAAAGACGGATTAGATCTACCAAATCGTAGAAACGATGCGCTTGGTGGGCCAAATTTTTGCATTGCTGCACGTTCAGACCTTTGATATTCATCATCATTATCATTATCATTATCTGATGTGAAAGAATTCAGCGGTCGTTGTTTCGAATCATCAGTTAAATAGTCTTGATTTTCGCTATTTATCTTTTTATCATCATTATGTTGTTTCACATCATAAACGAAGTTTTTATTTGGTTCACTATCTATTCATAGCAAAATAGACAAAAAAAACATTAGAAAAATATGAGAATAGTCAAAGTTATGCATTATACGTACTAGTTAATGTAAAGGCTATTGTTAGCTGAATAATTATGAATAGAGGAGATACAAAAAACATTTTTTGGAATAGTAAAGGATGAATCTAAGAAAAACAAACAAACTTTTATCGATGAATGTTTAATTATAATTATTTCTTTTTCTCAATCATTGTACTTAAACAGAATGCTTTTCACCATATCTCTAAACTTTCTCTCTTGAATTATTGTTTACGATGAACTTAGAAAAACGTTTGTCAACGTCTATTTCATTTTTGTCAATAAATTACTTACTCGTCGTTATATATCAGCATTTAGACGATGGTTACTCGGTATACAGTGTGAAGTGATTTTGTGTAACAACAGTATAAGTCAAATAGGCTTAGACAGTAAGAAACAAACTACATGACTTACCTTTTTAAATTCGATATAGTAGAAACAACTAACTAGAAAAGACGATTAAAAATAATGATATGGGATAATAGTCTTTTATATCATCTGATAGAAGAACTTTTTTTTTCACTTTCAATTCTAAGTTTTACCACTCGGAAATGAGAAAAAAGCAATCGTTTTTCCAGTCCATTTTAATTAGCGTTGCATGACTGTCGCATATAATGTGGTTAAATTAAGGTCAATTTTAATGATTTCAAAAATATTAAGAACAGTAATATACAACCAGATTGTCTTAACTGACTAAACTATGCTCAATGTAATTTTCTCGCCTTGAATGAGTATGTAACGTGATAATGACATGATACAAAATAAAAAATGAATAAAAGATAGTAATCTAACGAAGTAAATCTGTTAAACAATAAATTATACTCCTCGTCATAATCATTCACAAATGATCTAGTTTTTCGAATGAAATAATCTGAGTATTTGAATGAGCAAGCTGATCATTAACAGAACTACTAATAAGCAAATGATGAACAAAGTCAGAATTGTTCGCATAGATTAAAGATGTGAAAAAAAAGAATGATCAAATTCTATTTAATAGAGTTAAAGTTAAATACTTTAGTTTCGTATTTTAATTTTAAATTTAACAAAACAACAAACGTTTCGACCTCTTTTAATTGAGATCTTCTTCAGTGTACGTAATAAAATATATAAAAATATAAAATATAAAATATAGTTAAAATTCTATTTCATATAACTTGTGCAGATTTAAAATGTAGAGTGACTGCTTAAACTTTATATTGCTGCACGCCTATTTATAGTTTGTTTTTCATTTTCTTTTCTTCTATGTAACTGACTACATCAAGAAAATACGTGAAAAATTAGATACAAAAGCATATGAACTGTTAGAAGAAGATCCGTCTAAATCTATACATAAAAAGCTAGAATTGCTACTAGCAGAGTTAGTGGGTAAAAACGAGATTGATCAGGATGAAATGGAGATGTTACTAGAGAATAAGAAAATATCCTTTATACGAGGACAATTAAAAGTCCACAAACCAAATAAATCGATGCGATTAATTGTATCGATGAGAGACACAATGGAATCAGCACTGACTAAATTTATCACAAATATAACCAAGTCAGTAGCCGATAATAACAGATCACTCAAAAATACCCAAGATCTAGTCACTAAGTTGTACAAATTAAAGGTTAAGAAAACAAGTAAACTAGCCAGTTTAGCTATAACTGATTTATTCACGTCAGTAGATCGTGAGAAAGTCATCGTGATAGTAAATGATTTGTTGGATCAGGATGAATCGTCGAAAAGCAAAACCAGTCTAACAAAAGAAAGTTTATTAAGGTTAATTGAATTCAGCATTGAGAATGTCATCTTTCAGTTTGATAGTCAATTTTATAAAAGTTTATGGATTCCCAATGGGTTCATCCATTTCACCGTTTCTCGCGGATACTATAGTTAACAATTTTCTATTAAAAAATTGGAATTTTGAAAAGTACCCTTATATCGGGTTAGCAAGATATATGGAAGACATTTTGTTAGTTTCAGAATTAGATAAGGCACAAATCGAGCAATAGTTAAGGAGTTGAATAGTAAGAATGATCTACAATTTACATTTGAATATGAAAAAGATCATAAAGTACCTTTTCTAGACGTACTTATTTGGATAAATGAAAAAAGTGATGAAATAGGTACGAGTTGGTATAGAAAAGAAACAGCAAGTACACGGTTATTAGAATTTAACTCTGACCATAGTTATGCAATGAAACAGAATATCGTTATGAACATGGTCAATAGAATTAAAACAAGCATTAACGAAAAAGTTAATATAAATGACTTAAAGAGGTTAGAGGAAATTTTAAAGAGCAGTTGCTATCCAAAAAGAATAAAAACAAAAATTTTTCAAAAAGTGAGTAAGAAAATTAATAAAGAGGAGAAGAGAGACAGTACAATAGTCATCCCTCATAGACATTTGTTAACGGAAAAATTAAGAGCACATTTAGCTAAATTTAACATTAAAACCTATACCACTTTAAATCGTAGCATAGGATCAATGCTTAATAAAGCAAAGAAAATCGCACAGAACGATTGCGTTCCTGATCAAAAGAACGAATGTAAATGTGGTCAAGACAGTGTATATGGTGTACCATGTACATGGGATGATATTTATATCGGTGAGACTTGCTCGTTTAAAAGACGAATAAAAGGACATATGCGGAAAATTAAATAGAGAGATGTCAAAGGATCAGAGTTAGCACAATATGCAGAGAATCCGGATTATTTTGTTAATTTCGATGAAAGCGTTATCTTTGATAAAGAAAAGCATTGGGCAAGAAGAAAGAAACTGGAAACAGTTTATACCATTGCCAATAAGGGTTATAATACTTGCAAAGGAATAAGTCCGCAGTGAAAGTCTACTATCAAGAAGTGGATTCAACCCAGAACAGGGAAGAACTTTTTCCCGACAGTGGATGAACCAGTCGTTAATTCTGTAGAAATTATAAGTAATACTACCACTAATCAGACCACAACATATAGATATAATTATACGAGCTATAGTTTACACGAACAAAAGAGGAAAAATTATAAAGAGTGACTTAATAATATGTCTATTCGTTTACAATTCTCTTTCCAATATCATACGGCCTGATTTAATCTGTCCTTCTATGTCAAGAGAGATAAAATAACCTGTGTGTCTGTAAATATTTTAAAGATGTATTTTAGTTTATTTTATTTCGCTTATTATTCTTCGATGTTCGTACGAATAAGTATGCCTTGTGAGAGAGAGATTAATAGATGTTGTTAAAGAAAAGAACATGAAAAACAAACTATAAATAGGCGTGCAACAATATAAAGTTTAAGCAGTCACTCTACATTTTAAATCTGCACAAGTTATATGAAATAGAATTTTAACTATATTTTATAATTTATATTTTTATATATTTTATTACGTACACTGAAGAAGACCTCAATTAAAAGAGGTCGAAACGTTTGTTGTTTTGTTAAATTTAAAATTAAAATACGAAACTAAAGTATCTAACTTTAACTCTATTATATATCTAGTCCGTATCGACCAATAGTTTTACTCTCAACAAATCCTATTTGTATCTCAATTCAGACCGTCAAGTTTTACCGACAAAATAATCGACGATTGGCTATATCTAAAACTAAATGAATACATACTTTAGGTATCTAGTGCCATTATTCACACCCATCATTCAGTTTTTAAATCGAGATTTATCTTATTATTAATAAAAAAGACTATTTCATGACGTCTAACATTTAATAAAGTTAGTCAATATTTATGCATGTATCACCATCACGTATGATAGATTATTTAATATACTGTTTTTAAATCAACTTTGTTGCTGTTTTATTACAAATCACGCAATGGTGAATGAAGTACCAGTACAGATGTGCATTTAAAAACAGAAAAAAACAAAAAGAAAAAAAGAAAAAAGTAATTTAACTAACTATAAAAACAACATCTAAATTTTGGGCATCCATGCAGTGTTTTTTACTCAATAACACGAAGGGAGAGGGCAACACAACTGCTGTTTTCGAAAGTTGTTTAATTCTAATAAGAAATTTTTGTAAATCTACGATCATTCTTGTGATCTGTAATATAAGTGAATTAATATTTAAGAAGTTGATTCTTACTGGAAACAGTTAAACAAAAAACAGTAAAGATTTTTAAAACACATTGCTACAAATGCGTTTCCCTGTCGTTTCTAATGCAATATTTTGCGATATATACGAGTCTTTTAGCATATTTCGAAAAACAAACGTACACTACTTTATTTTGCATTTTGTCTTATTACAAAAAATATGAGTCGCTCGAACGGACGATGACGTGAAATTCAGAAAATAATGTCCACCCTTAGTACTGTGTAAAAAAAAAGATTTGTGTACGAAACCTAAAAGGATTTAGCGGAGTGTAACTATTTCTAAACCCTTTTAGGTTTCGTAGAAGAAAAGGTACGGTATGAAATCGTTTAAGTGCATAAATTCTATCAGTATTTTTTCGGAGCAAGTGGACTATTTCAGCAGCTTAGACGTGCTTTCACAGGGCGAGAAAAACTGAGCTCAAAAAATACCTGAAACTTCTGTAATTTTTGATTTTTCGCAAGAAAATTATGAGGAAAAAAACATAACGAAATAAGGAAATGATGATCAATTGTTTCGATGTACTTAAAACTGTTTCGTATCATACCTTTTCTTCTACGAAACTTAAATGAGTTTAGCAATGATTGCACTTCTCTACATCTACTTTTAGGTTTCGTACATAAACCATTATTTTAGAGAGTAGCGGATCAATCAAAATTGTTTTCAAGCAAAAAGATATTTTTAAATAAAAGATCTTTCCTTCTCAATCAAAACATATGCTTTTTTCATAGCTTTTAGAAAAAATAACAACAAAGTTTCAGTATTTTAATCAGTGAGAGTTTTGAATACTATTATTGATTTATGAATCTCAAAAGTTTGTTCATCAAAAAAAATTAAGGTTAAAACATGTTAATTGATAGTTATTTATCATGTTTCACTGATTTCAGAATCTCGAATATCTACCAGCTCTGTGAGTAACATTTCTTTTCTTTCTTCTTCAAAACATACTAAAATGTCTCTTTTTCTCACAAATATGCGCCATGGGGAGAAAATCGTAATCGATCAGATTAGCTTTAATCATGCAGAAAACGTTTCTCATCTTACCTTACATATTTCAGCTTTTTAAAAGATTTCTGAAGAAAACCTAATATTTTAGTCGAAAAACAACGCTTTTTTTTAAACAAAAACAATTCGGAAGAGAAAAATTTGATTTTCATTTTTCTTTCAAAATACAAGGATCCCGGTGTTTTCTTTTTGTTGGATCAGATACCGTACATCTGTTTCTGAAGTAAAGTAAGGAAAGAGAAAAAAAGTAATATACAGACTACCTACCGCAGGCGAAAGCAGTTTTCATCATCATTTAACTGAACTCGATGAACGGAAGAGACATACACGCAAAGTAGAATGCTCGTGTAAACGGTTGCCAAGAAAAAATAGTCTTTTTTTTATTACAAAATTTAGTACAAATTTCCTAGAGAAATTTTTGCGAACTGAATCGGATAATGACTAACATGGGACAATGCGTATCGAGCGAAATTTGCACAAAAAAGCTGGAGTATTTCCATTTCCCTTCTCCAAATCGTGTTACTGTCATCAAAAGAAGTCGTATCACAATACAGGATTAATTCAAGTGTAAAAATGTTTGTAGTGTGTAAAAACACTAAAACTCTCAATGTGTTTAAAAAATAAAACTCGGTGTGTTATAGGTTTTTGCTACATTTTGTTATTTCTTTGTTACATATTTTTTCTATTTCTGATTAAGATCGATATTAAAGAGAAAAAAAGAAATGTTTACTATAGTATAGAAAGTG